TTTAACAAAGTAAGATAAAATAAATTCTAAGGCAAACAAGAGAAATTTAAAGCAAACAATAAAATTCTAAGATTAATTGCAAAAATAAATAAGAGTGAGGGTTAGAGAAATTTGACACCGGAAATTTTTATAGTGGTTCGGCACAACTGTCCTACTCCACTTCCCAAGCACCTCTTGGGTTGTAAATTGAAATTCTGACTCTTTTTACAGTAGGAGTCAAACCAGTACACTGCTCTTCACAAGAGCAAAGATGATCCTCTCCACGGTGAGGACACATCGTTACAATGAGTTAGAAATTTTGAAACACACTTACAAACTCTCGTACATTTACAAATTTGAGCTCACAAAACTTCAATCCTCACAACAATAAATTTCTCTCACAAATAAGATGAAAAGAAAAATTGAGAACTTGGAGAGATTAGCAAATGAGAATTTTGAAGTTATGGAGAATTAAGAATAAGAGAAATTGTATGATTTTGAAGGAGAAGTTGAGTTTAAATAGACGGAAGAAAATGGTAAAAAAAATCAAGTTTAATTTTGGAACCTTAGATCTTAATTATTAAAATTAAGGATTGACATAAATTTGAAAAAATGAATTAAGAATTATATATATATAAAAAATAAAATAACATATATATATATATATAATAATGTGATTTTGAATTATATATAGGGAAAAAAAATTTCAAAATCCTCTTTCTTTTTTTTTAATTGAGGTTGACATAATATAATTAATTTTTTTTCCATATTTTTTTCAAAGTTAACTTTTTTTTCCACTTCTTTTCTTTTCCTATTCTATATATATATATATTAACAAGTTTGTCATTTGTCAACCTACGAATTGTCCACGTCATCTTCTCGAGTATTTTCCTTTCTTGTTTCGATCACAACTTCGCCGTCTGAGTTCCGATTTAAATGATCCAATAGTTGTTGGAATCGTTCTAACGAACTCTACTGTGGACACTTTAAAAAACTAAAATTATCAATAAATAAAGATTAAGTTTGTTATCATCAAAATATTAATGAATTAATTAATTAAAATTAATTAATTTGATATTAAGGGTCAAGAAACCAACACTATTCCTTTCATTGTCAATTGGTTTTGAGATAGAACCCATAAATTTTAATTTGACATCGGTTCAAAAATGAAATTCGATCAAGATCGATGAGCTAAAAGACTCACAGTTTTGTGGGGAAATGGTGATATGGCTGTATCATTATAAACATGGTGTCATTACAAATTTAGTCTCCCAATACCCATATTTATTCCCTCCATATTTCCAAAATCTCAAAATCTCCTTTTCGATTCAATCCATCTTTTAATACTGGCCATTTTTCATTATAATAATTTATATTTATAGTTCATCTCGATATTTTTACAAAATCTAAAATTTCAAATAATTAAATCTATAGAAAATCTAAGTTAGTTTTTTAAAATACTTATTAGGTATAGTTGGTCTATGTAGAAATATTATTAGGTAGTATAAGTTGCTTAAATTTTTCCTAAAATCAAGTAGCTTCATGTTATTCGGGTCAGCTTACGCGCATTTCGACTAATCTCACCGAACCATTCATAAGGTAGGAGATCATCATGGAGTTTGAATTAATTCCCTCTCACTTTACCCTAACCCATTTGAACCAATGATCAGTACTCATGATAGTTGCATCATACCAATTTATTATGTAAATCATTATTATAAACCAACTAGGGTCTGCCTAACTCAATTTATACTAGTCAAAATTAGTTATAATCTTGACGTTTGTGGGTTTAAGAAAATTGATGTTATTTTACAATTCAATGATTCATATAAGTTCTCATATAAAAAATTGCTCGTTGGAAGATGGCACAGTGGTAAGAGTCTTGAGTCTTGTGGTATCAGTTAGCATAAGATATTATATTCAAACTTTGAATTTGTCACAATGTTGCTCACCCCAAGTAACGAGAGCCTCGATTAAATTTGGTGGGTTGTACCCTGCAACTAGAACTATTTTGGTTCAACAAATTTACAATTCAAATAATGAGTAGTCTAAATAATCTTTTAACCTGCTTTACGACTAAAGGAAGTGCCTAAAATTTGCAAACATCCCCAATATTCATATGACATACACATGCCAATTTGCTCACGGGCTTTTTCACATGCTTCGATCTTAACTTTAGATTTTTTCGAATTCTTTACAAATGTTTGACTTGCAATTTTAATCGATTTGGGCGCGTAGGATTTAGAGATTAAAGCCAAAAGTTTCATATTTGGATAATTGACCAAACAAAAGTTTATAATATAAGTAGATTACTCCTCTCTCATTTCAATTGGTTTTGAGATGAAACCTCATAAAAGATTAATATGGTATTAGAGTCTAAAAGCTCAAGCGAGCATTCGGTCCAAAAATGGGATGCGAAAAAGACCAATGAGCCAAAAGAACCACGATCTTGAGGGACATATAAATGATCTCACATTAAAAAGATAACCCTTAACAAGAGTTTATAATATAAATGTTCAACGTCATGGGATCCAGTGGAAAGTTATATCACCACTTCGAGGGAGTTTTAAGATTTGATGGGGAAAATTTTGGGTTTTGGAAAATGCAAGTGACGAATCTTCTTACATATAAGAAGATACACAAAACCTTAAAGGAACGACAAGATGGGATGATAGACAAGTAATGGGCAGAGATGGATGAACAGGCCATAGCGATCATCAGGTTGTACTTGTCAATGAATGTGGCAAGTCAGAAAACAGCAATGAGGTTGATAAAAGCGCTGACGGACAGATATGAAAAACCTTCTGCCAATAGCAAGATGTATCTCATCACGAGATATTTTAACATTCACATGGAGGAAGGCACGTCGGTGAACTCCCACATTAATGAGGTCACTCAACTGATGAACTAGTCGGAGTCGATGGAGATCACCTTTTCAGAGGAGGTGAAGTCTATAAAGTTGTTATCTTCTTTGCTTGACAGTTGGGAAACTATAAATACGATGGTGTTGAATTCGTAGGGAGACAAGAGTCTGAAATTTTCCGATATCTATGACGCTGCAATTGCTGAAGAGATTCGCAGGAAAGGAAGTGGGAAGAATTCCGCATCCACTTCTGGTGGTAAGAACCATTTAGAGTCAGTATTGATAATGCAAAGTAAAGGCAAATGGAAGATGAGATATGGGAAACAGCAAGGACATGGCCAGAGGAGTGGGAGCGGCGAGGTTGAATGTTTTTATTGCCATAAGAAGAGTCACTTCAAGAAACACTACATGAAACTTAAAGAGGATCAAGAAAATGAGGACACTCTAAATTGTGTGCCAGCAGATGTGTTAGCTTGTATTGAGGGTAACACAATACCTGTAGACTAGTCATCAGAATGGGTAGTAGACAATGCAGCATCGGTGCATGTATCTTCAGACAGGAGTTGGTTCACATCACTCACTACAGGCAGTCATGCATGGTGAGAATAGGGAATGAGAGAATCTCCAAGATCAGAGGAATTGAGGATATTCGTCTGAGGGCTGACAGTGGGACTAAGTTAGTTTTGCACGGTGTTAGGTATGTACCTAGTTTCAAGATGAATTTGATATCAGTGGAGAAGCTGAATGACGCAGGCTACATAAGTGAGTTTTCAGAGAACAGATGGAAACTCATGAGGGGATCTGAGGTAGTGGTTGTTGGCCACAGAGAAGCTTCACAGTATACGTGTTGAGGTTTGGCTTAGCTAGAGGATCAGAGAGACAAGTTATGCACATGGCTGCAGATAGTTCAGGGGGAGACTTGAAAGAACTAGCAGCATTGACAATCGGGACAAATCAGAAGAATCTGCCATCAGTTCAAGTACAATAGCTGGGAAGTAGAGGAAAGGGAAAGGGGAACAACTCAATGAGGTGTTCAGCAGATTGTCAGTTTCGAGCACCAGTTGTCAGACGGATTAGCAAGCTGATGAAGTTGCCTAGGCGAAAGAGTACATCGAGAAAGACTACAGTTGGTGCTGAGGTCGAGAGTGAAGTCTCCAGGGTGGTAACAGACTTGGGTGGGAGTGCCAAGTCATCAGATGGAAATTAATCTTTCTTCAGGAGTTGTTGGGTGCGAGTGAAGAAGGAAGCGTCAGGGACCACTTAG